CTCAGAGTCTGGCCCTAAAAAACCTTGTTTTCTCTCACCCACTCTCTCTCTCTCTCTCCACAGCTTCCCATGCTTCTGCATCTCAAACAAAAATTGGGGGACATGTACAGAACTGCTTAGCAAAGGATGTGTTCATACCAGTGCAGATACCCAGAGCAAAAGGAGCTCAACTCACACATTTACTACTATAAATTTGTAGAGTCCAGCCCCCTGCCCCAGGGGCAGGAAGTCAGCTGGAATCATAGGATCCCAGCAAGATAAGCATCCAAATTTCTCTTTAAGGCATTCAGTGTAGGTGCTTGAATCCATATTTGCTGTTGGACCAGGAGGATGGATGATCTAGCTCCACTTCAGAGTTGATTCGGGGAGAGAGTGTGTGTCTGCAGCATCCATCCCATAGCCCTGCCCTCCTCTCCAATCTTCCGCGCTTTCTCAGGGTGGGAGGGGGGAAGGCAGAACAGGGAGGTCAGTTCTGGGGTTTCCCCAGCCATGCTGGAGTGTGTGTGAAGGGTGTTGATTGAAGCCCCCTGACCTCAGTTGGGGGGGGAGGGGGGACTCCAATCCACTCACCCCACCCTCCAGCACTGGCTGGACAATCCCCAGAACAAGCTCCCTTCCCCACCTCCCATTCTGAAAACAGTGCCAGAAGCAGCACTGGGCTGCATTAGCTAAGCCCTGCCCCCCAGCAAGGAGAGACAATTTACTGAGGGCCCTCCACTTTGGACCACCTTCATCTAAACCCTCACATAATGAGGGTTCGTATTTTCACTGGATCTGGCCCTTTTAAAGCACTCTGGAGCCGTGCCTTTTTGTTTGGTCGTGGCTGTAGAGCACTTTCAGGGGCCAGACTGGGTAAAAATTGTCACTTCTGTCTGCACCCATGTGTCTCTGCTTCCCCATCTGGAAGGGCAGGAGATAATACTACCCAACTCCAAAGAAAGGAAGACAGTCCACCAATGTTTGCCAAGTGCTTTGAAGCTGCTGGCTGGACAGCAGAATATATGTGCAAAGAATTAACTCCATTCTTGTTCTGGTTTTGTCAACCCTTTGGAACCTTACAGTTGAGCAGCACAGGACTCAGAAGTTGGGGACCAGTGCTCATATTTTGTTTCCATGGCAGCAACATTTTAACTCAGAATTATGGTCTTGGGTTTTTCACTATAAAAGCAGGCAAAAAAGAGCAGAAGGAGGTGAGCACTAATGTTTCAATATTCACACACAGGCACACAGTGATAACCTACCAGCTGGCCAGATGAAAGCCTCAGCCCCTTATGTTTGTAGGCACCCACAAGATCCAGCCAGGCAGTTTCTAAAAGACCTACAAGCAGGCAAATACCCTTGGAACATCCTCATGCCTCATGTGCCAGTAGCACAGCTCATGAGTTTGATTCCACTGTATGCTATGGTTGATTTTCCACAAACAAGCCCTCAACATTTCCCACTGGAAACTTACTCGTCATCACACAACCCACACTAGCCACCCTGGAGACATAGAAAAGGCTTCCCTCCATTAAGCTATGTAAGCCCTGGAAGGTACTTTACACCTTATGATAACCTATTTACCAGTGGCAACGCATAGGGGATGCATGTGCATCCCCTGAGTGCTGGTGCACCCCCTGACCAGCTGCACTCCCTGCTTAGGCAATGGGTGAGGGAGCAGGTGGGAGCGCTGGTGCCCCCCTGCAAGTGCCAGCTGGGGACCGTGAGCACTGGATGTAGTATATAGTTA